TTCTGCAACGCCTTTAGTATTTTCAGACAGATAGGAGCTGTGCGCATTATCACTCCACCCAATGCGTTAATCAGGTGCCTTGTGAGTGAAAGCAACACTTAGTTTACTATGATATGTACTAGAACCTCTACCCGAACAGGTCGTTAACTACCGATAGCGTCCTTACTTTATTTACATAATCAGTAAAATTGCACTATGAGATTATTTCTAAACTTGTTTTGTTCATGACTTGATTGTTATGTCAAATATTTGATTGTCCGAATTCACAGACGTTCCTTATTATAGTGAAACCGCCCTGAAAAGAGATAGTTGCTAATTAGTATAAAGAATTATAATTTTCACAACATAATAACATTCCATGTGTACTTTTCAAAAAATAAAAATTACTTGAGTTTCAAAAAAGTGTCTTCAAATGTGAATGTCATATGATGGCCTGCCATAGAAATTGTATGTGCATGGAGCGTCAAACATTAAAAGACAAAATGTTACATTTTATACTTACACTGGTCATTCAACAGTATGTCTAGAGAATATTAATGTACAGTCAGACTGATCATTTAGCTATGCAGCCTGAAATTGACATACTGAACACTGGTGGCGCTCTATATAGTTGATCAGATATTAGGTCACAGGAAAACCAGGCATTTCTTGTTTTTACGCTCAATTATAAACATCATAGAATACGCCGGATTTCACTGCAGAATAGTTTTACCATCTAATACAGTTACCAATAACACGAATTAACTGTAGCACAACAGGATTCTTCTGACGACTTGAATGTAAAGTGGTAAAAGAGAAAAAGTTTCACCTAATATTATTCAGAGGTTTACAATCACGTAAAAGTTATTCAAAATACTATTTCAAATAAGCCGTTATATGTATGATATGATGTTATTCGCGACCACTGAGCACGATTATGCTGTGTTCTACCACCCATGACCAGTGGCTACTCGTGAACATTTAGCGCAGGGTTTACGTGTTTTTAAAGGAGAGCAGAGGTCTGGCTTTTGTTACTTCGTAAATGAAATTTGAGATCTATGAATGAATTCTGGCGATAAAAAACAAATTGTATGTGCTGCGAAATGCCCTAAATAACAAAAAACGGGCTGTGAAGTAGACGACAAACCTCAACTTTGCTTGGCGTTATTTCGCCTCTAGAGGGCAGTCTATGACGTCATCAGTGACACTGACAATTTGACCCATTCATTATGCCACAACGATTCATGTTAAGTTTATCGAAATCCCAAATGAAAAATCACGTTGTTGGTTGCGTGAAATCGGCAGAAAAACTAAATAAATGAATATTGTAGAAATACGCTAACATCACTTGAACTGCAGTATTCATTTCGCATAACTCCTCACTTTTTAATCTACCATTTTTCGATTAATTTCCGACCGCACGTTATTATCCGACCGGAAAACGACCGCATTTTTATCGTGTTTTCCTTTCGCTGGCTTATTGAAAACACTGACCGCTCGCCCAAACACTGATCACTGGCACAGGAGTGTTCGAAGTTACGGTTTTAATGATACAGTTTGGGGATAGTGACGTGTATTAACTATTATTAAATTCTGAACGACACTTCAAATATATGCCACTTTGTGTCGTTCGCGAACGCAACTTGAACTATGTCCTCTTGTTACGCGAGTGCTTACTTGGGTGCTTGTTCTGATTTTAGCGAATGAAATGTAATATTTTATTTTATTTTATTTTATTTTATTTTATTTTATTTTATTTTATTTTATTTTATTTTATTTTATTTTATTTTATTTTATGGAATTGAGATGGAAGTGTTACTGTGTCAAAAGTAAGAGAAAGAATAAATGAAAATTAGTGAATTTAGCATACATGTTTGATGTGTATTGGTTGTGTTCCACAAACTACTGATGGAGGGGGACTGTGTTCCGTTTATATCTAGGGCCGCTCGCTTTCAACAGTAATGATTATCGAGACAGTAGCATGAAAAGGGCAATGCTGACTCCTTTGAACCGAGAGTGCATGGAGAAGCGAGAAAAATGTTAATGTGTTTTTTATTCCAAAAATAACGATGTCGGTGCGGTAAAATCAAGTTTGACATCAAAATTGAGTCACGATCAGTGGCTGGGATCGTTCTTTAAAAGTTTTCTAAAAAAACGGTCCTTCTGTGATAATAAAAACGGGCCACATGTCCTGAAAAAAAGAGCTTGACATTTACAAAATGTATAAATAATTGATTGGGCTTCAGAAAAAAAAGTGTCAATTTTAGTTGTTGCGTAAATATTTAGTTGAAAATTCGTGATTCCGAGAAGAAAAACCATCTACCCTAGTCTCATTTACCTTATTTTCTTAACTTGCAAAGATTCGCCGTGTACCCTAATATATCTCAGCCTACTAGGTTTTCATTTTGAACTGAGGTCAAATCCTACCACTTTGTCAAAATATAACGATGTTGCTCGAAGCACAAGAACGTGAATTGACACCGGTGATTAGATAGTGCGACAACCTTTCAATTTGCGTCAAATACGCTTTGTTACAACATAATTGATTGGCTGAAAGTCACCTGACCGAAGCACGATCTGGGTCACAGAACTATATATGTCCGTATCATCTACAGGATTTTGCTAGAGAACCACACCCACATTTTCAACCATTTTAGCACCGAAGTTACCAACCAACAAATGTCGGAAAATGGGTTCGAATAAAATAAAGCTAGCCATTGGTAATTGTTTAATTATTTGGGTTTTCAGCCCTCAAATTATCGAACATGATCCCCGTGAATTACGGCCAATGTTGTCCTGTCTCGGCTTGAATGACAGACGTTGACGACGTATCCTCAGAAACTCAGCATGGAGAAACAAACGACGATCGATATTTCAAACAAATTATTACCGGGACACGGTCGATAGGCATTTCAAACAATCGAAATTATTATCGAAAGGCGAGATATTTAAAAACATACACTGTAATACGCAAAACATACGCAAAATTAACAAATAAACGAAGTGGGGGTAACGTTATGTTTTATGTTAGGCTTACGAATATTTTCTTTCACTCAGTCCATGCATGGAGCTCTTTATTTAATTCCATGACTTTTCCATGGGTTCTTTTTGGGGAAAACTACATTAATTATACAAACACATCGTGAAAAATCAACAAACAGGAAAGGAAACCCATAAATTACACTGATTACTTTGCAAATCAGACAATCATACCGTACTTGTGTTGATACATTTTTGTGGCAGTATGTAACGCTAGAATATTGTTTAAAATAAAATACTCCTTCCTAATCACATCTAGGTCAAAGGGTCAGATTGTGTGCATATAATTATAGATAGTTAAAAACTAAGTATAGTTGAATTTTTGATGGTTATTCAACGTTCGAGGAAACCAGAATAGAACAGGTACAGGTGCGAAATGACGCCAAGCAAAGCGGAAGTTTGTCGTCTACTTCACAGCCCGTTTCATACCGACATTTAGGGCATTTCGCTGCACATACAAGTTGTTTTTATCGCCAGAATTCATGCATAGATCTCAAATTTCATGTACGGAGTGACAAAACCCAGACTTCTGCTTCCATATAATTAAGTATGTTCCTATCAAGTCGCCAGAGCCGATACGATTACTTAGCCTATGTCAGTGGTCTGTTTGAAATAAAGGTACTACGTTTATGTCGTTGTATTTGCTGGTAGAATACAGGTATCGATACATTTACGGATTAAATTTATGCTTTAAATATATTCCATATATAGCATATAACATTAACATCTGGTTCACAATTTGACCGCTCGCTTTTTATTCACGGACGTATTTCAATATGTACGGAACACACGTTCCGGGTTATGAAGAGGTGTTGGCGATATTGAAACCGATCAATAATATTGTGTGCTGACGTCGGCGCGTTAAAAGACAATCGGCGCTTGGTGAACTCAGGTCAATACACTTACGGGTTTGAGATCTAAATATATATCACATATTCCTATGCTTAGCATCAAATCCGAACTGCTCTCATCTGGTTACTGTGACCGACAAATCGACAATAAAACGTGCAGCAAAATTGTAGTATACGCACCAGGTTAATGTCACGTTTTCTTGTGAATGTTAATGTTATACGTACGAATTTTATGTTTCATTAATTTATGATCTGTCAATTGAATTACTGCCTGTCACAGGATCATAATTAATGATAATGATATGCAATATTCAATATTTGTGTCACATGGCCAATCACGTGGTGTGTGACGTAATTATAGTATAAAACAAGCAGGCAACGTGTTGTCGGTTCTCGTTTGTCTTGTCGGAATTCGATCCAATACCTTGTTAGCAGAGAATATTTAAAGTGCATATATCACAATGACCAGTCAGGTAAACCATTCATTACTCAAACACATTTATAAAAAAATGGATTGATCCCTTATTCGCTTCGACAAAATTCATCTGTTGATTTTGATATTGCTCTCTGCCTACCTATGCCATTGTGGAAACGAGGAGGGGTCAATATTTTTAATCTAGGCCTAGAATAGAAATGTGTATTGCTTTGTTTGCATATTGGTCAAATGGAATAACTTAATCACGTTTGTTATTTAGGATGGGGCTTTGTGGTTCGGTGAGTTTTGTTCCATTTTCTTGAAAATGCGTGGCTGTTACGCCCACGCACCCATGCCAAATTGTAAGCCAGAAACGGAAGGGGGGCTTTCCAAAAACTTACTGATATAACCCAAGAAGGTAGGCTGGTCTAGATTTGAAAAAAAATACCTATAAAATTGCCACGGCTGAGCCAGTGTACTGTTTGAGTTCGACTGAAAAAAATTAAGATACATTACAATCTGTTCGACTGGGACCCTAATTTGGAGCAGCGCCAGCATTATGATTATATATGGCGAATACTAGTTTCTCAATGTATGACCTGTCGTCGTATGTTGGTATTTTTCATGCAAGTTCATGACTAGAACTGTATACAAGTACAGCGTAGAAATGGTATGCGAGAATGTTATCCATGTATTCTATAGCAGTCTGTTGTCATTAATATGGGTGAATTTTTGATCAACTTATCGCTTTTTGACGAGTTATGTAGTTGAAGAAGACGAATTGAAAGTTTTGTAAAGTCCGAAAACAGGAGAACTATTCAAACTATCTGCAAATGAACTGAATCTTTCTGACTGTCACGAAGTTCACGGTGGGTGGTGGAAATTTGGTCCTATATAGCTGACATTTTTTCTTGCAATAACTAAAAATTATTTGTGAGCGACGTAGTTAAACTATGTGTATTCACGAATGTTATGATCCATTCAACGTACTTAACGCATTATCGGCGACAGAAAGAATTTTCTGGAGTTCACAATGGTAAACGTGGCAGGCGATGATCCTATTCAGTTATTACAATTTACAGGCGACATTGAACTGAATTCCTGGCCTTAAAAAGGCATACTCAAAGCATCACTAAAGTCTGAATTACTCTCTGAACTAAAAACTTAAAATGTGAATTTAAAGTTGAATTATAGGAATAAAAATCAGAGCAAGTAGAATTACCGTGGCGGAACACATGTACCGGAGTATGCCTAGATATCAACGATTAAAAATTCGACAGGTAAATGTACGGATATAAGGTCTGAATATATACCGTATAAACCCACACTTGCATCAAAGCCGAACTGCTTTTATCAGATCCACCATTATGCCCACTCGATGTTTAGGAAAGGTTCACATTTTCGCGGCCATGAATAAAATGCAACATACTAGTAAACAGAAAAATGTAGGGATTTTGGGGAGATGAATGAAAATAAATTTTGAAAAAAATGTTGACATGGGGTGACTCTCTGTTTACTTCAGCCTTTCTCTTCTCTCTAATATCTTCCCTTCCAATATCATTTTGCCAGGGGTCACTTGAGTTCCAAATGTCTGTATTAAAGAACACGGTTATTTCGCTGTTATTTATCCTGTATTGTAATTGTTATGTATGTGTTCTCATAATTTATTTAAAATGTTCTTTTATTCTACTACATAACAACAGATCTACAAAACTGTATCGAAATATCATAGGAATATTCAGCAAAATGTTAACATTTATTTTCAATATTCCCCGTGTTTTCTGGGCTGATGTTCTTGATAAGATCGACGAATCACAAGCCGCATTCCATTCTATTGCGATCTCTCTAGGGAGTATATTATTTTAATACTATTGTGCAGAAATACCCGTAAAATGCTGCAAATTCTATTGTGTTCATTGATTTTCTGAAAGCGTTTGATAAGGTCAAAAATCAGAGGATTTGAAACAGACTTTTGAAAGATGGCATGGAAATCAACATTTAAATTTTTTACATTCTATTAGTTCGATTTTGGAAAGTAAGGAACTCTGTCTTCTTGGTCAGATATGTGTTATGGAAAATTATTCTTTTATAGATATCTTATACAACAGTAAATATATAATAAATGTAAATATTTATGAACATGCTCAACAGATGACATGTCTCTTAAAATAAAGTTCATCGTACTTGTCAAGAAGTGTTTAGTATACTTGACATAGGGATGCAGCCTTAGGGCGATATATTTTGGAATGGCGAGTCATTTATTAATCAAAACCATACGTTAAATGTGGCAATTCCTAAGTGAACAGACGTACAAAACATATACAGCATTTATTGTCGAATCAATTGTACCGAGTTGACACTAAATATAACAATGTTATAATACGAAGTGTATACAATGAAGCCATATGGGTGACCTGTCATTTGGATATTCTCATTAAACCTATGGAAAATATCGCCTTCACAGGGCGACATACCGGCGCTGTGTCCAAAACGGGCACGCGTGGTGTATGAATTGGTAGAGACTACCGATTGGATGGTACCTACGAGCAGAAGCATGTGGCACATGATCTTATTGAACTACAACTGTATAGAGGCCACTGATTGGTGGATTGGGAGAACATCAGTGTGCATATTATAGAGCAAGGACTCGTCATTATATAAACCAGATCGTGATGTTACACGTGGTTGATTTTCCATTTGACGTTATAATTAAATATAATTTAATGAGAACTTACCATTATTTTTCATCTATGTTTATTACATTACACTGTCAGCAGGCAGTTATAATTTTGATTGTTTAATGTTTGATTTATTTTACGCATGCGTACAAAGCGTATGTTTGTAAATAATAATTGCTTATATGATTTACTTGAACATACCTACTGCATCTTTGTATGAACTGGTCTATGTAACATTTGTTCACTTGTGAGTTACCCATGAATATAGTGTATTGACATTCTGTTATGTGCTTAAACATGCGGTAACCAGAACCGACACAAGGGTAGAGGTAGAATGTTAAACTTGGTATACAAGTTTTGATTCAAATACGCTTATACCGTTCTAATTACACCTTAGTCAGTATGAAAATGCAGCACACAACTGTCGACGCTTGCTCTATCGCTGCACTATATATACACATAATAAACAATTCCTAAATTATTTAATAAACCGGAATTCATTGGAATATCGATAAGGCCAATCAGTGATCATGATTTTATATAACGCCCTCCGTCTCAAAAACAAAACAGAAATAAACTGATATCAACTATAGAGTGACAAAGCCACAACAGAAGATTTAGAAGCATATTATTCAGAAAACGATCTAATACTAGTACAATGTATATTTGTTTTGTAGAAACACGAATTTAAAGTGGAATTGACCTGCGATGGATGTTCTAGTACTGTAGAACAAGAACTAAGTGCACTGAAATCAGGTGAGCATGGGGTTCATTCCCAATTTCCGGGCTGATCCTTGCATTTTATTTAAGGAATTCATGTCATTTCGAATTCGCATCTGTTTCATGACTTACCTATTGGACGATCATGCATTTTCCCTATGATGATACTTCCAGTGTTTAAATAATTATACAAGCCATGTAAGAATAATCAATGGCGCAAGCAATATATATGCTGTACTAACTTTCTGTTTCGCCACAGATGGAGTGACTGACTTCAAAGTTGATTTAGCAGCCAAGAGAGTATACATCGATTCAACTCTAACTTGTGACGAACTTCTGAAAATCCTTCAGAAGACTGGAAAGTGCGCCACCTACGAATGTGTTAGCGAATAACATACCTCGTAAGTAGCACATTTGGTCACATGACCACTTTTATAGAGCATTGTTTTTTCTTGTCTGTCTGTTAACCCTCTTAGTGTATATAAAAAAT